GGGCGTGGCATGCCATCTTGCCATTGGGAAGCACACACGGTCGAATGACGTCGGGCGTGGTATGGCATCACCGCCTTTGGAAAGCACGCACGGTCAGACACCGTCGGGCGAGACATGCCATCACGCCTTTAGAAAGCACACACGGTCGAATGAATTCGGGCGTGGCATGCCATCATAGCCCTTGAACGGCAAACAAGGTTGAATGACGTCAGGCTTGGCATGCCATCATCTCCTTTGGACTAGCTGACACAGTCGGACGGCGTCGGGCATGGCATCCCATCATCGCCCTTGGACGGGGAACACGGTCGAACGACGTAGAGCCTGGCATGCCATCAACGGCTAAGGACAACACACAAGAAAGGATGACGTCGGGCGTGGCATGCTATCATCTCCTTTGGACAGCACAGACGGTCGGACGATGTCGGTCGTGGCATGCCATCACCGCCCTTGGACAGCACACATTATCAGATGACGTCGGGCATGGCATGTCATCACCGCCCTTGGACAGCATACACGGTAGGACGACGTCGGGCATGGTATGACAATGCTAAAAAGTTATAACATTTTTTAAAACACCTAATCAGCCTACTAAATTATTACGATTTGATTTTAACATTCAAAAATTAATGGAATCTAGTTTTTATTTTTTATTTTTTTAGACTTATTAACAAAAGTGTCAAGCAAATTGAAAATTGGTTAGATTATAACACCTACAAACAATGATTCTAGGTGGTTAAAGACAGACCTATAGGCACGATTTCTAAAAATATTTACAATGAACAAGTAGGCATGTAAATCCCCCTCCCCTAGACGATCCCCCAAATAAATTTATATATGTGATCTTTAGAGTTACAAATGTTACAACATTCGAACAAATAAAATAAGAAGAAAAAAATAATATATATATATATATATATAGAGAGAGAGAGAGAGAGAGAGAGATTCAAATAAACAAATAAATCTTTCTTCGTGGTTAATCTTCAACTTGAACTTCAAGTTTGAAACCTGTCAAAGCAATCAAATAACTACACAAGTAATCACATTTATTAGTCAAGGTGAGAAAATATGCAATTGTTTAATGACGAATTCTACATATAAAAAAAACAGACAATAGCTTACACAAATGTGTGAATGTAAAGATAGTGTAAATGTTAAGAATACTAACCAGTCAAGTAAAATTAATTGATTAACTTTTACTCGAACAAAGTAGCAAAATAGCGAAGAAGAACACTTGAATAATTACCGGAATCTTAATGTATTGTTAGAGTAGCAAGAGAGCAATGAGAGAAGGAAGAGTGATGAGAGAACTTGTGATTGAGAGTGAATGAGTGTATTCATTGATGAAGGAAGGGGGTCTTATTTATATAGCAAGGAGGAGGAAACAAATAAGGAAAAGAAATACTTAAAGGGATCAATTAAATATATTGTTTTCCTTATTATAAAAGAGGACCAAATCTGAATATTTTAAAATAATTTATTATCATAATACAAACAAGTAAGGAATAAATATTTTTATTCATAAGGAAAAATAGATCAATTAAACTTATTTTCCTTAACAAGTAGAGAGTAAAATCAGTACAATCCTTTTTACCTTAATTAAATATCACTTTTCTAAAAATATAACAACTAAGAATATATTTGAAGTCAATACCAGGTAAAATAAAATACTCAATTAAAAATGACAATAATATTTTAAAAGATATAAGAAATCTGCAACTACTATTGAAAATTACAAGACTTATCATAACAAATAATAATCAAAGTGAAACCAATATATACTTAGCATGTCAATACCCAAATCACATTTAGTAGACTTAATGGGAGGCAGGAACTGATTATCATACAATGTTGTTTTCAACACGGCTAAAACACATGTACTTTACGAATTTTGAAGAAAAAAATCAACAAGAACAGTCCATAGGATCAAGCAAATCACAATATATTTTCATACTCATAGCAAAATATTTCTGAAAAAATGCATAACATTAGGCGAATAAAACATCTAAATAAAAAAACTAAAACAGAAACTAACCCAGACGGATCTGTTGAAATTCATCTTAAAATCAGCCACAATATGTTGAGATATCAATAGAATCTACGCCGTTCATTAGCTGAACTTGCTGGCCGGAAACAAGGGAAAAAACAAGGATCGCCAGAGTCTGTTGTTGCTGCTGTCTCGTCGTGATGCTGCTGTTGTTGTCTCGTCGAGATGATGCTGCCGGTTTTCCCTGCAAAAGGAGGAGAGAAAGCGGAAGAGAAAGGGGAAAAGAAGAGACGGGAGGGGAGAGAGGAGAAGGGGAGAGAAAGAGGGAGAAGCGGGCCGATGGGAGAGAAAGAGAAAGGGAGAAGAGGTGTCCAGCGACTGATTTCGCCGGAGCTGCCACTGGTCGCCTGACTTCGTCGGAGAGGAAAAGAGGAGAGAAGGAAATAGGGAAGAGAGGAGAGAAAGAAAAGATGGAGGCGGGGAGAGTGAGAAGGAGGGGAAGGGAGGCGGCTGGAGAGGGGTGGCGACAGAGGGGCGTTGCCACCTCTGGATGATGGCCTCGCCGGCCAGAAAAAGGAAGAAGGAGGAGCGGCGCTGGAGAAAGAGAGAGAGAGTGTGGCGGCTGCCAAGGAGTGAGGGAGAAGAATGGGTTAAAATTTTAGGTTTTGGGGTCTTTTGGTGTTGAGAAAATAATAGATTTAATCACAACCGTTGATCTAATTTGAAATGAGGGGCTAGGATTCGATTAATAAAATAGATGGATGAGATTAAAAGTTGAGATGTATTGAAATCAGATTGGATTGCATATGGATTGGCTACAATTGCAATTAAAATGGCTAGAATTGAAATGAGAGAGAGGCTATGATTGTAATAAAAACTTAATTGGAGTAGCTAGAATTGAAAGAAATAACGATAGAATACGCTAGAATTTAAAAAATTTAAGGGAAGTGTAGGACTTACTATTTAATTAAAATACTACATATATTAAAATATTTTTATATAATTGAAAATCATTTAAATTTTAACATTTGAAATTCATTAATAATTTTAAAATATTTTAATGATATTTACGATAACTTTATAAAGTAAAACATACTAAAACATATAATTTTCAAGCAAAGTCGGCAAAAATATTCTAAAATTTAAAATACATATTTAATTGAATAGTATTCCTAAAATGGTCAAAGGTCGGTCAAAATTGGGTGTCAATAGACAGCACACGGTCGGACGACGTCAGGCATGGCATGACATCACCGCCCTTGGGCAGCACACACGGTCGGATACATCAGGCGTGGCATGACATCACCGCCTTTGTACATCACACATGGTCGAAGGACGTCAGGTGTGGCATGCCATCATCGCCTTTGGACTGCACACACGGTCGAACGATGTCGAGCGTGGCATTCCATTATCGCCTTAGGGCAGCACACACGCTCGAACTATGTCGGGCATGGCATGCCATCATCGCCTTTGGGAAGCACAAACGTTCGAACGACGTCGGGCGTGGCATGCCAACATCACCTTTGGGCAGCACACACGGTCGAACGACGTCGGGCGTGGCATGCCAGCAACGCCTTTGGGCAGCACACACGGTCGAAAGACGTCGGGCGTGGCATGACATCACCTCCTTTGGACAGTGCACACGGTCAAATGACATCGGGCGCGACATGCCATCACCGTCTTTGGAAAGCACACACGGTCAAACGACGTCGAAGTGGCATTCCATCATCACCTTTGGGCAGCAGAAATGGTCGGATGGCGTCGGGCGTGGCATGCCATCATCGCCCTTGGACGGCAAACATAGCAGAACGATGTCGGGTGTGGCATGCATCATCGCCTTTGGGCAGCACACACGGTCGAACGACGTCGGACGTGGCATGCCATCATGTCCCTTGGATAGCACACACGGTCGAAAGACATCGAGAGTGGCATGCCATCATAGCCCTTGAACGAAAAACAAGGTTGAACGACGTCGGGTGTGGCATACCACCATCACCTTTGGACTAGCTGACACGGTCGAACGGCGTCGAGCGTGGCATTCCATTATCGCCTTTGGGAAGCACACACGGCCGAACGACGTCGAGCGTGGCGTGGCATTATCTCCTTTAGGCAGCACAAACGGTTGAACGACGTCAGGCGTGGCATGACCTCACCGCCCTAGGACTGCACGCACGGTCAGACGACGTCAGGCGTGGCATGACATCACCGCCCTTGGACGGCACGCACGGTCGATTGACGTCGGGCGTGGCATGACATCACCACCCTTCGACAGCACAAACAATCAGCAACGTCGGGCGTGGCATGACATCACCGCCATAGGACAGCACATGGTCGGACGACGTCGGGCATGGCATGACATCACCGTCCTAGGGCAACACACACGGTCGGACTACGTCAAGCGTGGCATGACATCACCGACTTTGAACAGCACACACGGTCGAACGACATCAAATGTGGCGTGACATCACCGCCTTGGAGCAGCACACACGGTCGAACAACGTCGAGCGTGGCATGCCATCATCGCCTTAAGGCAGAACAAACGGTCAAACGACATCGGGCGTGGCATGCTATCATCGCCTTTGGGCAGCGCAGACGGTCGGCAACGTCAGGCGTGTCATGACATCACCGCCTTTGGACAGCACACACGGTCGAACGACGTCAGGCGTGACATGACATCACCGCCTTTGGACAACACACACGGTGGAACGACGTTGGGCGTAACATGCCATCACCGCCTTTGGCCAACACACACGATCGAACGAAGTCGGGCATGGCATGATGTCACGGCCTTTGGGCGGCACACATAGTCGAACGACGTCGGGCGTGGCATGACATTACCGCCTTGAGGCAGCACACACGGTCGAACGACGTCAAGCGTGGCATGCCATCATCGCCATAAGGCAGAATAAACGGTCAAACGACATCGGGCGTGGCATGCTATCATTGCCTTTGGGCAACACAGACGGTCAGCAATGTTAGGCGTGGCATGACATCACCGCCTTTGGACAGCACACACAGTCGAACGA